TAAGGAAAAAGGCTGTGAAACCATTGGGAGATGGAGAAAAGCCTGTGTACGCCATTTTTACTGGGCAGTGACATCAACAACACCTAAGCATGGTGATGTTATTATTGCCAAATTTAATTCCTTTCTGTATCATATCATAAATGTTCATAAGGACATTCCGAATAAGSTATTCAACAAGTGTGCACATGGTGTGATCAATACTCCACGCTTATGGCTAACTAAAGGTATTACTTGTCTTTAATACACTGCCTTAATGGCTTAAAGTAATTACCAACAGCAAAAATTAAATAATTATCTTTATGTCAGGTTCTGAAGCATACTGGAAACTATGTGATGCTCTGAGTAAAACCTCACTTGTAAAAGCCATCAAACAAGCCTCACCAGTTGCACAGACCAGTTCTTTGGAAGGATACCACTCAGTAATTAACCAGTTTGCACCCAAAATKCTGGCATTTTCATATTTGGGCATGCTTAGCAGGTTAGAAACAGGACAATTTAATTTAAATGTTTGTGCTAAAAGTACAGTTAGCATGTTTATGTACTAAGTAATTATATGTAATGGCATTTTTACATTCTATTCCCAGGACTATTCTATCTGCTCTTCACTTTAATYATAACACCAATAGRGACAGCAAAGTAGATGTCAATGGACAGGCAAAAYTCACAGTCAAGTATCCTAAATTCAAAGGTGGAGATGCAACTGTTCGAGAGCTGAAAGTGACACAAAATTATGGTAACAAAATTGGTTTTGAAAAAATTAATGATCTCTATAATACTTACTCTATGTTTTTAATTATACTTCTAATAGATTATGTTGCTGAAATATATGAAACTTTGATAAGTACACCAAGAACAGAGCTAAAACAAATATCAACAGAATTAAAAAATGATGTCCCAGAATCTCTGCAAAGTATGTTAATCGAAAAACAAGAAAAAGAAGAAGCAAAGCAGAAATATTTATCCAGAAAACAAAAGGAAACTACTATTTGTCCTCCAACATGTTCAGGTGCCCAATGAATACTGTTACAAACTYTATTWCATAGAATTATAATTTAAAAGTAAGAATTGTTCAGTTCAGAAAATATGCAAGTCCCATCTTTTCTGGTCTATCAGATACACATCACTACACTTAGCAATTCATTGAAACAGGTTGTAAAAAACTGCAATAAAATATTTCAATTTTCAATCCCTTAAGCAAGTGTGCATGCTGATGAGATCCTTGATGCTTATATTCAAAAATATATTTTACTTTTGACAGAAACTGAACTGCAATCACTGTTATCCAAAGCTGGTACTAGTGGCAAACAACGAAAGGCACCTCAGTGTAGGAAGTGTGGCAAGCCACTGAAAGGGCACAAAAAAGGACAGTGCAGCAATTCTACATAGATGTAGAAATTAATGA